ATCCATCCATCCATCCATCCATCCATCCATCCATCCATCCATCCTTCCATCCATCCATCCATCCATCCATGATTTTGTTCTGTGGGAGAAAATACATGTGCACAGACAGAACATGCAAACTTCACTCAACAAGGCCCCATGTTGGGAAGTGATCGTGTGACTTTCTCCTTGAGAACTTTAAACACTGCTCCACCGTGTCACCCAACACCAGTTTCCTTTTGAGCAAATTAAAACAAACCATCTCTAATAATTATTTCATCAGTGAAAACAGATGGGAGAGAGCAGGGGGAGTTCCATAGTTTAAATCTTTTTAATCTTGGTTCTGTAGTGTTTTATGAARAATATTGTATTATCTGTTCGTTTGGACTGAAGAGCTTCAGTTTGAACCAACAGAGTTGAATTCTGATCGAAGCGATGAGCTAACAGTTAATCCAAGCAGAAAGGAATGTCTGAAAGGATTCTGCCGTCTTCGCTCGCAAGTAACCACAGAATTCTYTGTAAATAGCCATGAATCTGAAATTAAACAAAGCTTTACTAGTTCTACTGATGCTTCTACTACTACAAATGCTTGTACCAAGGAGTGGTGTGTGAGTGACGTTTGTTGTACTGTACATAAAGGTCAGGCCAGACAGTCTCCTTCACTCGCTGTCTTCAAGTCTCGTTTAAAAACACTACTCCCTTGCCTTTGAGTCTGAGTGAGATGGAGCAAAACCTCACTGTGTATCAAAACTCTGTTCTATATGTACTGGAAATATAAATGCTCCAATTTTTATCTGTATTTTGAGTGTAATTTTAACAATGTCRTGTTGTGTCTGTCTACTGTGCCGCACAGGCAGGCAGGCAGGCAGGCCGCCCACCTATGCGCGCCCCCGGAGGGCATGCCGGAGAGCACCCCCAACGGGGAATCCCCCGTTCCGCCGGGGGACCCCAATGCCCACGTGGGCAATGAAAGCAAGACCCGGAGAGGTGCGGCCGGGAGGAACAGCAATCTGAACCCGAGCAGTGCCCCGCCACCGGACCTCTGTGCTCGTCATGGACAACAAACACCATGCTCAAACACAAGGGCATCCACATGTACTCCCAGCACCAGGACACCCCAGGCTGCAGCCCAACGATCGACCCCGCTGCTGTTACATCCGATCCGCGGGTGTCCTGGACACCCGGGTGAAGACGGGGCGGAGCCGCCAACTGATCATCACCCGGCGGCGAGCCAGCTCCGCTGGCGGGGGAGGATGCCGGTCAGACCCGGCAGACCCAAACGTACAGTGCGTGCCCGCTGGGAACGTCCGCCAGAGCCTCACGACAGATGGAACCTCAACTCACACCTCCAGGAGAACCCGGACCGACCGGGCTCCATGGGTGAAAGCCCGGCCACCAGGTGCTCGTCAACGAGCCCCGCCTCCAGGCCTGGCTCCAGAGTGGGGCCCCGGTGACCCACGTTCGGGCAGGGGGTCTTTGGGCTGCACTTTGTCTTATTCCTCACCTAGGACCTGTTTGCCTTAGATTACCCTACTGGGGGCATGAAGCCCCCAACAACATAGCTCCTGGGATCATTGGGACACTCTAACCTCTCCACCACGATAAGGTGGCAGCCCAAGGAGAGGTCACACTAGCATTTCNTGTATGTTCTTGTGTTAATCCAGATTAAATGTATGTTCTGTATGTTAATCCAGATTAAATGTATGTTCTGTGATTTATCTATGGTTTTTCCTCTTCATGGCACAGTTTTTAACTGATGTGATTTATAATCTGAAAAATGCGGTACAGATCTGGTCTGTCACATGCTCGTCTCTTAGTCCTGATGCATGTTGACCTGTGAAAGCAGACCAGAGACATTTGACCCAAAGCCAGCTGTTGACCTGTGGGTGGAAACAGGTCATCTTCTTCATCACAGTGAGGAAGACCACTCTACAAACCTCATCATCTCCTGGTCTCAGATGAACTCACTCAGAATGTTACGTGCACACCTGAGTATAGAGTCAGACCTGCTGAGAGCTGCTTGTTCAGTGACTGTCAGATTATTGACGTCAGGAGGCCACAGAGAGGAGCGGTGAGGTCAAACGTAGATAAATATTCTCATGTTGGAGGAAATGAGAAGGTTTACTTGAAGGCAGAGGGATGTAAATCCTCTTCTCCAGCCGCCTCCTCAGAGCCTCGTCGATGTCCCAGGGGAAGTTGGTGGCAGCCAGAACCATCACCATCTTTGACGGGTCATCATTCTCCGACGCTCCACCGACGCCTGCATCAAACCAACAGAACCTACTGGTTTGACTGGTTTAAAGTCTGGAGGTGCGAGGGTCGAGTGAGAACCCAGACAGAACAGTTTACCGTCCATCTGCACCAGCAGCTCAGCTTTGACCCTCCTGCTGGCCTCGTGTTCCTCTGAGGTTCCTCTGCGACTGCACATGGAGTCAATCTCATCGATGAAGATGGTAGTGGGAGCGTAAAAACGGGCCTACAGCAACGACACGTGATGAAGCAGCTGATAAAACCAGGTGAGATCTGCTGATGCAGTTGGTTTTAAATTAAGGATGAATAAATACTAATAGATTTTATTCAGGTAGTGGTCACCTGGAGGTGGAACAAACCGTTCACCAGTCTTTGACCTTAGTCTCAGAAAACCTCCTTCAGACAAAACTCTGTTCCTTTAAAACCTACTTTAAGCCACAATGTGTTTTCTCAACAAGGGCGGAGTGGGTAATCGGGACAAATCCCGCTGGGCCAGACCATTAATGGGCCGGTCCGATGGGCGCAGTTAATACGGGGATGATAGGACGAAAAAAATCTCCAATCAAAAACTGATGATGAACTTCTGTTAGTTCACTGATGCTCCACAGAGCTGCAGCAGCAAAGACAGCCCCTCCCCCTCCCTTTTTCACACACAGAGCTGCAGCAGCAAAGACAGCCCCTCCCCCTCCCTTTTTCACACACAGAGCTGCAGCAGTAGACAGCCCCTCCCCCTCCCTTTTTCACACACAGAGCTGCAGCAGCAGACAGCCCCTCCCCCTCCCTTTTTCACACAGAGCTGCAGCAGCAGACAGCCCCCCTCCCTTTTTCACACAGAGCTGCAGCAGTAAAGACAGCCCCTCCCCCTCCCTTTTTCACACACAGAGCTGCAGCAGCAGACAGCCCCTCCCCCTCCCTTTTTCACACACAGAGCTGCAGCAGCAAACAGCCCCTCCCCCTCCCTTTTTCACACACAGAGCTGCAGCAGCAGACAGCCCCTCCCCCTCCCTTTTTCACACAGAGCTGCAGCAGCAAAGACAGCCCCTCCCCCTCCCTTTTTCACACACAGAGCTGCAGCAGCAAAGACAGCTCGCTCCTCCCTCCCTTTATCACACACAGAGCTGCAGCAGCAAAGGCAGCCCGCTCCTCCCGCCCTTTTTCACACACAGAGCTGGAGGAGCAAAGAAAGCCCGCTTCTCCCTCCCTTTTTCACAAACAGAGTTGCAGCAGCAAAGAATGCCCGCTCCTTCCTCCCTTTTTCACACACAGAGCTGCAGCAGCAAATGCAGCCCGCTCCACCCTCCCTTTTTCACACACAGAGCTGCAGCAGCAAACAGCCCCTCCCCCTCCCTTTTTCACACACAGAGCTGCAGCAGCAAACAGCCCCTCCCCCTCCCTTTTTCACACACAGAGCTGCAGCAGCAGACAGCCCCTCCCCCTCCCTTTTTCACACAGAGCTGCAGCAGCAGACAGCCCCCCTCCCTTTTTCACACAGAGCTGCAGCAGCAAAGACAGCCCCTCCCCCTCCCTTTTCACACACAGAGCGGGAGGAGCAGACAGCCCCTCCCCTCCTCCTTGTGACAGAGCGGAGCGGTGTCACACACAATCAAGAGTTTATTCATCTATTCTTGTGGGGACTTTTCATTGACTTCCAATCATTTAACTGTGGTCATTTCTACAGACTAACCCTGACCCACCAACAGTATTTTCCCCAACAGGGACCGGGCTTTTCCCCCATAAGGACCAGTGGGTCCTCACCACCACCTGTGTTTACAGGGAAAATTATCCCCACCAGGCTGCAAAAAACCTGTAGGCGCACGCACGCACACACACACACACAGGCTGTGCATGTTGCCTTCTGCAGCATAAACAACAAGTTACAGGCTACAACTGGAAGAGGTAAGACTCCTCTGATAATGTCCAGGTTTTGGTAAAACTATAGTCTTTAAAAAGAACCAGAAAATAAATCAACGTTTCCCCACGACACAGTTTTTTCTACCAAAACTAAGTGCAGTTAGTTAGTCCAGGTGATCCATTAATGTTAACTATAATTTAAGTTCAGTGATGAGTTTAAATCTATTATTGAGGTGTTTTTAATCAGTTAAACTCTATTTTAATGACAAGAATAAGGAAACTGAAGCTAGTAAATGACAGAAATTGGTCAACTCAAACATTTAAAGTAGTACTGCTGTATTATTAGCAAGAATAAAATGTTTATTTTTAGGGTTTCAGTATTTTCTGCATAAAAACAGTGCTTCATGTGCAGAGAACTAACTTTTAACAATGGGATCATGGAAAGAACAAGTGGTCATCTGTTAATTTATTCATGTTATTTCAGGATATTTTCTTGACTTTATGCTGACCAGGTGACAGTAAAAATAACCCAGTACTTAATCCATCAATACTTAATCCATCAATATTTAATCCATCAATACTTAATCCATGTCTGTTGATGTAGGAGCTGAGAGTCAGAGGCAGATTCAGCAGGTAGAGTTCTGTCAGGTGAGCAGTGAGTTTAAAAACAGGATGATTCAACTAGAATTTGTCTCTAATTTACTTATTTAATCAAATGTTTTATGTAGGTAAAAGTATGTTTATGAACCTGTAAAATACACCAGAATGCAGGAAACTGCATCTACTAGTTTCAAAATTTTCTGGTGGAGGACCCCCCGACCCCCCACTAATGCCCCCTCACACACATCACAATGCTTCTGATGCTCATTGTTTAACCTTAGAGAGAATAAACCAACACACCTGTAGTGCACCACCTGTGTACAGAACTGAACTGTGTTCAGTGAAACTAGTTGATGGTTAAACTGAACACCTGGTGAATATAAAGAGCTGCTACAGTACACAGTATAATGAGGTGTGATTGAGTACACATTATTGCACCACAGCAGAAACATTTACTTTGTTGTTGATGAATGTGAAGAGGCAGGCTTTGATCGGTGAATAAAAAATACAAAAATATTACATGCTAGTGCTACATCTTTGCCTAATTTAGTATATGTACAAAAATTGGGCCGGTCTTGGCCATTAAACTCCCGGGCTGAAAGGTTTCCCACTCCACCCCTGCTTCTCAAACATAAAGAGACATTTTCTTCTTCTTAATGAAGACAATAAACTAACTAATGATGTTCTTTATGTTTTTGTTTTAACTAAAAGTTATCATTTTATAAATCAAGGTTACATAATGAAATGAATGACAACATATTTTCTTTCATTATAATTTAGAAAAAGAAAAACACAGAAATAATATTGTTCCAATGTTTCTTTATTTGTTTATGCAAATAAGTGTTTTAATCAACTGTTATTTGACAGTAATATGATTATTTGTTTTTCTGTTTTATTTTTCAGTTTAAATTGATCTCTATGTATTAGTTTACTATGTTTTACTATGAATATTTATGGTTATTTGTGTTTAAGTCTTAGCTCAGGGGTGCCCAACCAGTCACCCGCCAGCTGGTTCCCAGGTGCCAGCGCAGCGCAACCTTGCTGCGGAGCCTCTAGCACCGGCTTTGAGCGTCGCATCCCGGATTGGCTGGTCTTGTTTGAAAGCTCTGGTTCTGCCCTATAAGGTGAAAGATGAATGAAGTCCCTGCGATGTTCCCCCGCGGAGCAATAAGCAAAACACCTCCAAAATATGCACCGTCGGACCTCCTGCCGGGGTGCATTTAGCCCCCCCCCCCTCCCAGGCTAGGAGCATTGGAACCCTGCATGGCTGGTCGGGTTTTAAAGCCCTGGCTCTCCCCTACAAGGTGATACTTGAATGGAGTCCCTGCGACGTTCCCCCGCAGACATATAAGTGAAAAACCTCAAATTACGCACCACCGGGGGTGGTTTTAGCCCCCCTCCTCGGGCTAGGAGCATCAGATCCTGGAGTGGCTGGTTGGGTTTTAAAGCTCTGGTTCTGCCCTACAAGCTGATACTTGAATGAAGTCTCTTTGACATTGCCCTGCGGAGCAATTAGCAAATTATGCACGACTTAGTGCATTTTACACGCATTTTTGGGAGGAAATTTCAACCTTCGTTTGCTTCTCCTGCAGGCTCTGAGCATCGGATCCAGGAAAGTGAGATGACTTTGGAAAGCTGCAGTCCTCCTCTACAAACTGGAGGTGGTTGCAAGTTCCTGGGACGTTCCCCCCACGGAGCTATTAGCCAACGACCGGCTGAAAAAGGAAGTGCGTGACTGCACCATGAAACCTATTTTTCCCATTTCCTCAAACACACCACATTTCTGAAACAACCAATGAAAACAGTTTGTCTCTACTAGGCTTGTAAACAGAGAGCTGCCGGGCCTCAAAGTTTGGAGACGGGGGGAGCCAGGAAGCACTTTATAAAGAGAGTCAAACCATYACAAACTCATACAAGGAGATAAAACAGACGTTTTACATGGTGAAATGTGACTGATGGAAACTTAGGAGCTTAATCCCACACCAGTTTGACCAGGAATAACGTCAGCTGACCAGTCTGTCTTTTGGACTCCACAGAGAAGAAATCCCATCATACTGCTGCTTAAATGTTCACTACGTCAGAACTTATTCAGTAAATGTGTTTCCATCTCTGCTTTTACACATTAACTCTGACAGGATGGAGGAAACTGGTCTTGGTGGAGGTTTGTACTCTCCCAGTGCTTCTAGTTTTTTATGTAACCTTGATATATAAAATGACAATAAATTTTAGTTAAAAGAAAATATAAATAAAAACATAAAGAACATTTTTTGTCTGTTATCTTAATTAAGAAGAAGAAAATGTCTCTATGTTTGAGAAGACACTAAGTTTTAAAGGAACAGAGTTTTGTCTGATGGAGGGTTTCTGAGACCAAGGTCGAAGACAGGTGAACGGTTTGTTCCACCTCCAGGTGACCACTACACAATGAAGGACACATAACTCACACATACATGTAAAAACATCAAAATACTAAAGTACACATGTAGAAAAACACAAGTATAGAAGTAGACAGTAAAAGCCTGCAGCACAGTGTGTGACGGTCACGTTGGTCATCCCAACATATCTCACCATTTCAAAGAGGAGGCGGACGAGCTTCTCAGACTCGCCCCTGTACTTGGAGGTGAGCGTAGAAGAGGAGACGTTAAAAAACGTGGTTCTGCATTCAGTAGCAACGGCTTTGGCCAAAAGAGTCTTCCCTGTGCCTGGAGGTCCCACCATCAGGACCCCCTAAAGAAAGAAACAATCACATGAAAGTCAAGAAGTGGATGAAAGGTAAGAACAGGTCATTGTCTTTAATCAACACCTTCCACGGTCTCCGGATGCCTTTGAAGAAGTCTGGCATCCACATGGGCAGGACAACCGCTTCCTTTAGGAGCTTTTTGGGATCTTCCAAGTCTGCAATGTCATCCCTAAAAATGATAAAACAATTTAAAAAATAAAGAAAATCAGCAGATTGATGTTACATTTGGTTGTTGTCAGGAAGGTGATCAGATAAAAGTCTTATGTTGAACAATTCCTTTAATACTGTTTTCTACGTGTGCTACTGGAGCCAAAATTAAAACTTGAATGGGTGTGCTTAAATGTAATTTCATTGTGCAAATGATGACAATAAAGGCTTTCATCATCAAATTCAAGGACCTTTCAAGGATTTCAAGAACCCGTGGGAACCTCGGTTATACTTTCATATCGTTTTTACAAATAAGAAAATACTTTATCTTTTAACACATAATTATCAACAGCAGGACACTGAAGAGATGTGTAAATAACTTTATTCTGGTAATATTACAGCTGTTCTCATAACAAAAAAAAAAAAAAAAGAAATCTGTGGTTCCAATATTCTGTTGTATTCACCTAATAAAGTTTTCTTTTTTAAGAAGTACAGACTGGCCTGAGCATGCTAGTCACTAGCCCCTCCAATGCTAAGGCATATGACCAGTGGTGGCACCAGCCCGCTAAACCACAAATCCACTAATAAACCTAAATATTTCATTTGCACTTCAGCGGTCTTACTAATTTTTATAATTCATAAGCAGATTTGCGCTTTCTAAAATTAAAAAGCAGAACCACTAATAACTAATTATCTAGCAGTCATCATTATGTTGAACAGCAGAAGGTATGACTGTCAATGAATCACAACATGTGATCTATCCAACAGCACCCCTCCCAGATAAACACTCTTATTGTGAAGGTATACATCCTGCTGACTGTTGCTTTGGGTCACGCTTCTGATTTCCCACAATGCTTTGTGTCTGCTTACGTAGCAGGAAGGCAACAGTAAAAACAGTTAATGTTTGTAATCCATACTAAAATTTTATATGTATTGATTTATTTTACTTTACAATCAGAGCTCCTTTTTAAAAAAAATAAAGTTTAAACGCTGGAGCTCAATACTTGATGTAATTGGTTGAAGCAACAGGGTTAGAGACTAAGAAATGATTTAAAGATGTTATGCTGATGAAGACTGATATCTAGTGGTCAACTGGAGCACGGGTTCTCAAACCTTTGGGGTCTGAGGACCACTTACAAGAGCGAAAAATCTTCCAGGGACCCCCTCATGAACCCTATGCTGTTTTAAAAGATAATTTATTGTCATTTCAACCCCTACATGCCATAGGAATGTAAATTTTAATTAAGTTTTTTGTTTTATCAGTTCATTGTTCTCCATTCATTTTTAAAAATAAAAATCAAATTAACATTTTAGTAAAAAAAATTTGAGGACCCCCAAGTTACCTCTCGCGGACCCCTGGGGGTCCAGGGACCCCAGTTTGAGAACCTCTGAACTGGAGCGACTACATGGAAAACTTTAAAATCCAAGCTCTTATTTTGAAGTGAAGATAGTTTCCTGTACTCGGTGCTTTTGTTTCCCATCACAAATCAAATCCGTCATGTACCCAGAATGCATCGCTTCAGTTTTCCAATAAACAGTTTTAAAATTACTTTATTGATGCTTCTTTAATGAAAAATCTACAACAAACAAAAGAAAAAGACAAAGAATCATCCGAACTAGCAAGCCTCAACAACGATTTAATTTTTACACCATGAGCCAAAGTTCTGGTTCTGGAAATCAGATCCCCAGCAATCAGCGGTTGAAAGATTAAGCTGTACAAGGGTTCATTCATTGCTAGTTAGCGGTATTGTGCATTTAGTATATGAATTATCTGCTAGTAAATGTCAAATTGAACTTACTGTATATAAAGATATACATACATACAGTACATGCCTACATTCATAAATATTGTCAGTATATACACACAGACATACTG